CACCTAGCTGAGTTTCTTTGTCTGCTAAATGGGGAGCAGGCACCAGCAAGCAGCATCATAGAGGCTCGATCAGATAATGGAGAAAATGCTGCAGCGACATTTATTGAGCACTTACTACCTCTCTGCTACTTGTCATTGTTTGGAAAGCACTCCAAACAGCCTGGCAGCTATTAAGTGCTCAATAAACTATGGCCACGGTATTGTTGCTGTCTTATTATTTTGATTATGCTCCAGCCTCGGTGGGGCCCCAGGCAGGGGACTCCTTGGCCATCAAGCACAGACACACTGCCCTCTGGTGCTGCCGCTGAGGAATTGGCAGCTGGAAGCAAACCTCTCTCCAGGAAAGAAGGCCAAGGCCAAGGCCCCAGCTCACTCTGTGGGGTTCTTCCTGCTCAGGGCTCCTACCCCACCACTCTAGCTTCTAGAGGGCACACCAGGGTCTGCCGGCTGCTGGCCTTACTGTTGCACGTCTGTCCTCTCTGTTGCCAGGCAGGTCTTGGGGACCTCTATCCCCTACTTTTACATGACCCATGAGCAGATCTCAGTTGCCTCCAGAAGGTCCTGGGCAAGGATGCCAGGGCTCAGCTTGCAGCTGTAGGAGGCAGAAAGGGGTGGCTGACCATGAGGGAGGCCTAGCTACAAAGCACAGACCTCTTCCTTTAAGAGTACTGGGTCCTGCAGCTTCCCTTCCACAGGCCTTGCCCCCTGAAGAGGGATAGTTCGCCTGGACTTTCTGTCTCTGCAGTGTACTCTACTTCCCGATGTTAGAACGCTATGCCTGTGTGAGCATGGGGGCTCAAAGAGGCTCATGGTGGGCGTGGGAGTGGGGGTGTCACCAAGGATACTAAGGGGATCCAAGCACTCCTGCTTTTCTGAATGGGACCCCTTGAAAACCCCTTTAAGCAGCAAGCACTGCGGGCTAGACTTCTAAACTCAACCCACCCCACACAGCCGCCACAGGAGGATGCCCATGACCTTGGAAAAGCTTAGCCTAGCCTGGCTCACCCCACACAAAGCATCCTAAAGACCCCAGGTCATCCTGACGCCAGAAGACTGCTCAGCGCAGTTCCAGCATCTAGGAGAAACTAGACTCCAGCTGGAGAAGGAGGGAAGCCTGAGCTGACAGGAGCAGCTGGGCAGAAAAGTGAGGCAGAAATTCCTCAAGTTAATGCTTTCTAAGGCCCCTCGGGCCACTGCCAGGTATTGTCTGAAGCTATTTACTTCTAGGGGGGGAAAACCCTATTGATCTTCATTCAGCGGCTGTCTGTTCCTACAAGGCGCAATGCCTCCACACATCGCCAGTCACGAGAATCCCTCATTGTTTTACAGGCAGTGACTTTCAAACTCAAGAGACAAGTGTTCGGGACAATTTCGATGATCTGACCAGAGGAGTGGCACGTGGTGGCGGGGGGAGGGGGGAGAGAAGAGTGTGGTGGCGGTGCGGCGATTCATTCATTCCCCTGAGAAGGGCTGCTGGACTCCTGGAGGTTCAGACAAGGCTGGCTTAGCTCTGCCCTGCCTGTGGCTGCTCCAAGAACGCAGAGCTGGGCGTGCCCTTCCCTCCCGCCCCCTTACACCTGCTTTATGTCTCCGCAGTCATTTGGCTTTGAATTTTCCCACTGGCTGGCCAGAGATCACTACCAGCCACCAAGCTCCTCATCACAAGGACGACGCGCCAGGCTTCCCCAGCTGCTGCCACCACTGCCTGGTTCCTTTCTCAGGTCCCAAGCAGCCCTCAATCCTATAGAGTAGGTCTGTAATACTGGGGAAGATGCAACCAGGAGACCTACGGCGACAATGACGGTTTCCTGACGGCGTGTTTTAAAAGGAACTTGACACCATAGTTTATGTCAACTAAATTGTATACATTTGGGGAAAGTGATCACCAAAGTGGGGGAAAAAAAAAAAGAACAGAATTTTATCAAAGTGATCCAGTTCGCTAGGAGCGGAAAGAATATGAAATCCAAGCCTCCAGCCTCTACGACCGTCACCCCTCCTCTTCAGTTTCTAGAATATGAACCTATAAATCCAAGTCCCCTGTGGAGGGTCACTAAGGCTCATTTGGCTGAGAAGACGCTGCATTTAACTATTGTCCTAAGTTAAGACCAGGATCCATCCAAACAATAACGATGTCAACAATAATAATAAAATGCGGAACAATATGCCTCTCGAGCCTTCAATGGCAGCCCTTGATAATCACACACAGAATACATCTTCCACATATTCATATAAAATAATCAATGATCATTTTTTTCCGCAGACTACAATCCAATTACTCTCTCTCCCTCACTCTCTCCCTCACTCTCCTTTGTTACTTGCAAACCATCCAAGCAATCAATGCCTTGACCTCTCCCTCTGATAGACACAATTACAAAAAGACAGAGCAATGCAATTCATCTATTCAAGACAGATTGTTTGAACACTCTGTCACACTGCTGAGCTATCCATCTCCTTGTCTGAGAGGGAATTTCAGCCCCCCAAAGAGGCACAAAGAGAAAGGGCGGGTACCACACTCCCCAGGCCAGAGAGCCCATCTTGCACCTGCAGGTAAACCCTCTCTGGTCTGGTGCTCACAGGGGACTGCCTGGCTGCTGGAGAAGGGATTCGGGCTCCAAACAGAAGCACCCAGCATGCTTCAGAGGAGCCCAATTTCCAGGGCCTCCATCCCTGCAGCCCCAGTCAAGAGGCCTCAGATCCCAGAGATGGGAAAAGACCTCTAGCCAAGGCAGTATCTTTGGGCTGCAGCAGGTCCTCCCCCTCTTCCCCCTCTCCTCCCTCTCACCGTGCTTCCTGCTTCCTGGTGCCCTGACCCCAGCTGAGGTTCAACCTCAAGCTCCAGAAGGAGAAGCTCAGCTCTCCTCCCTGGGGCAGCACCAAAGAAGCTCGGAGGCCTCGGGTCCTTCCCATCCTCCACCCAGAGCTGGCTGCGCTCCAGGAATCACGTTTGGCATCCGTTCAGCACCCAGGTCCGTCCGTAGGCTGGGAGTCAAATAGGGTAGGGGTCTCGGATATAAATGGCCTAGGCCGACACGCTAATTAATCCTGGGGCTTAATTTGAAGAAGATTAGAAGAGAGAGGGACTCTGCCGTCCCTAATCACGCCATTACACTGTGGCTCGAGAAAGGGCCACAGGTTTGGAATGTGTGCGTCTCCGTACTGTCCCAGGGACAAGGGCCCTTTACCCTGCCCATTTGCAGTCAATACCGCTGAGGCTGAGCTTAACCTGCTCCTGTCTCTCTAGGGTCTCCAAAGATTCCCATTCCTAAAACTGGGCTGGAAACACACCAATCCATCTCCGTGGAGGGAAGAGCAAGGAAGGTAGACCTGCAAAGCGGAGGGGGGGGGGGGGAGGGGGGGGGGGGGGGCACACGGGGGGGGGGGGGGGGGGGGGGGGGGGGGGGGGTGGCACACAGCACCCTTTGAGGTTTCCTTTCTATCTCAAGGACACTCTACCGTGAAGGTCCCCTAAAAATCACCAGAACTGAGAGAGGAAATGAAGGAAGCAGTGGCCCACAGCTAAGCAGCTAAGCGACTGGCTGGAATGCCAAGCAAGCCAGTACTGGGGCAGGAATATTTTTGGCTAGCCTGGAGAAACCTGGACTTCAAAGGGTTAAACCTTGACTGTGAGGGCTGTCCCCAGAGTACCCTCCGGTGCCTGGCCTTCCCTGCCTCAGGTGTATGCCTGCCCAATCTGTTCCTGGGTCCCAGGCATGCACAGGAATAATTGTTCTATGCTCCCCTTCAGAAGCCGAGTTCAAGAGGACGTGGCTCCAGGGAGAGTGAGAGAAGAGGACTCCCTCCTAGAAAAAATTTCAAGTACAGATAACCAAGCCTGGTCCGAGTTCCCTGCATCTTCATCACCCCGCTGGCCACCCAAAGTCCGCTCTTGCAGGAGCAAAGTTGGCTCCTGGAGGAGAGCCCCAGAGGAGGAGGAGGAGGAAGGTGGCCCTGGCTGGGTAGAGCTCGGCTGGCCAGATGTTTCTGCCTGGCGAACCCGAGCCGTTCAGGTCTTTCGGCCTGGCGCGGGCGCTGGGCCCTCCGTAAACGGAGGAGGCTCCTTGGTTGCCCAACCTGGCCCAGCCCGGAGGGTCAGCTGGCCAGAGACATGCATTGGCTCCCGCCCAGCCCTGAGTGCTGCCGCGCAAGGTGCCTCAGGCGGCCACAACAAAGTTAAAGCCCAGAGTACGGTGAGAGAAGCGATGAAGCCAGAGCCCCAGAAAGCCGCGCGCAGACCGCCAGCCGCCGCCAGCTGCGGAGGGATTTCGGCTAACTTTGAAAGCCACTCGCATCCCTCGGCCGCCGTCCCCGGCTGCGCTGGGCTGCCTCCCGCGCTCCCTTTTCCCCAGCCTTCGTTCCCCCTGGCCGCAAAAGGCCTGGGCCTGGGGCATCCTCCGGAGCAACGTGCGGGGTCCCTCTCCTGCCCCGCGCCTCGGCCAGCCAGGGGCAAACAGATCCGCTGCCCTCGTCCGGCGAATCCTTCCCCTGCGTCCCTTGCCCGTGCCCATCCCTGAGCTCCGGCAAGGAGCCCGTGGCGGGGAGGACGGGGGGGGGGGGGGGCCAAGGGGGGAGAGGGGGGGGCGCCCCCCCCGGGCCCCCCCCTCTCCCCGGAGGCCGGCCCCCACCACTCCGCGTGGCCCTCGGCGCTGACCGCCGCGGCGAAATGCCCCCCGAGGCGCTGGCGTGGGGCTCGGAAGCTTCGCCACCCCCCAGCGAGTCGCCTCCCCCGGGGCGTCCCCCCCCCCCGCCGGGTCCCTTCGCCACCGCGGCCGCGGGCTGCCTCCTCCCTGTAAGTAAGGCCCCTCGACCCGAGCTCTGGAACTTTGTCCTCCCCCGGCAGGAGCTCCCAGCAGATCCCCGAGCCCTGCAGCCTAAAAGGAGGTCGGGACCATCTCCCCGGTCACGTTCAGGGCCCCAGCACCCCGATTTCCGTCCTCACCCGGGCGCGCAGAGACACCCCCACCCTCCCCACAACCCCCCTCCGGCTCCAGGGGAGCCCTTACCGATCCGGATGACGTGGGGCATCCCGCGCGAGTCTGGGATCCAGAAGGCGCACACGAGGAGCCCGGCCCAGTATTCCCAAACCAGACTCCGGAGGCGCCGCCAGGGAGCGGTCATCGTTGGGCGCCACCGAGCGTGCCCGGGGCGCGGCCGTGGCGGGCTCCCTGGGGCGGCAGCTCTAGGCGCGGGCGCGCAGCAGCCCCCGAGGCGCCGCCTGGCCCAGCCGCCCGGCTCCCGAGCGCCTCTGCGAGTGGGGGGCGCCCCGCGGCGCCGCGCACATCTTACTGGGGGGCCGCCCCGCCGGCGCCCGCCCCGCCTCGCCCGCCGCCCACGGGGGCCAGCCCGGGAGCTGAGGTTCCTCCTGGGCTCCGCCCCGGGCTCCGCTCGGACTCGGCTGCGGAGGCTCCGGCTCGCGGCGGCTCCTCTCCCGCGCGGGCTTCCCACCTGCCCCGGCTGCCGGGCGGGCTTGGCACGCCGTCTCCGGCCGCTCCTCCTCCTCCTCCTCCTCCTCCTCCTCCTCCAGCCGCCGCCGATGCTATCGCCCGGGCTCGCACAAAGCCCCGGAGTGGAGTTGCACGCGCGCACACACTCCCTCCCAGCCCCCTCCCCCGCGCCCTGCCTCCCGCCTCCCGCGCCGCCCGCCGCCCGCCGCTCCCTCCGCGCACTCCCCCGCGCACACGCGCTTCCCACTCACACTCGCCCGGGCGCACACTCGCGCGCTCACACCTGCGCAGGGGGCGGGGAAGGGGACCCTGGACCGGCTTTGGGAGGTGGTGAGGGGGTGGTGGTGGGGAGGACCCCCGGAGGATGGAGACTCTCCTCCGCGGCTCAGGCGTCCCCGTCTGCCCCTGACGCCCCCCACCCCCACCCCGGGGCAAGGCGCTGAGCCGGGGAGCCCGGCGCGGAGCGGCACGGCTGGCACCGCGAGCCGGGGAGACGTCGGCAGCCCCAGCGGCCCGACCGACTGGAGGAGACTCGCCTGCCGGGAGCCGCGGGACCCGGAGCCCGCCGTCTGCGGAGCCTCGCTCTTCAGCTCCCACGCGGCCGGCGCTGGCTGGACGACGGCGGCGGCAGGGGACTGACCTGGAGCTGCTTTTCCCTCCTGATCTCCAGCCCACGAGAATGCGGGGTTGGCCCTGGGCTTGAGGGTTGGGGATGGGGATGGGGACCATGTAAAATTCAGGGAACTGGCGGTGCTGGGCTGGGGTGTGCGGAGCTTCGGGAACTAACCGGGAGGGAGAGAGCCTCTTGTGTGGAAGGTAGGGCTTGACCGCGCACCGTCAGCGGGAGGGCTGCGGAGAGAGACCGCTAAAGCCTTCGCTTCCGAGGGCCGCTGGAGTTGGAGCCCGCTGGTCTCTCGGTCCTCTTCCGCAACTATGCGGGAGGAACTGGAGCCCTCTCCCGGATTCCCCATGAGAAACAATACAGAGAAAACTGTTTTTGTTTTTGTTTTTGTTTTTGTTTTTTCCCATGGGACAGAGTAGGACTCGCGGGGGAGCAAGCCGAAAGGGTTAAAAAAGAAATGTTGTTTATTACCAATAATAATTTTTTTTCCAAGTGGATCTGGGTGTCGAGGGAAGAGAAGGGCTGCGGAGCGAGGCAGGAGCAGGAGGCTGCGAATTACGCAGCTAGGCGAGTTTAATGACCTTTTTGACAGAGACAAAGCGGTACCGATACAGTAGATAAATAAACGGATCTGTCACCGGGCTGCGGCTAGGCTGTGTGCGAATTTATTTTTCTCATTTAAATAATTTGATCTGTTCAATCATTTCCAATCTCTCCCATTTGCCAGCTGTCTGGTAAGAGCATGGCCTCCTCCATCTGAAGAGCAAATCTTTAATTTTCCTACAAATAGATAATGTGTTGCGCTTCAAACCCGCCTGTTAATTTTGCCGTCTTTTCTTTCCCGCCCTATCCGGGTTCCGAGGCATTGTGTGGGGCTGTGAATAGAGCTGTAGAGCCAATTGGCAATTAGGATGGGGCTCCTCTTCTGAACTTGCATCGGTGGCCTTGGGGGCACAGAGTTCCTGGGCTACGCCAAGAAGAGAGAGGAGTGTGTACCTCGTCCCCCCAACATTCTAGGTGATCAGCTGTTAAACGGAGGTCTCCGAATCTGCCGTACTTGGGGCCTGCCTTCCCCGGCTTTAGACTGGCTGGTTCCCCAATCGGCCTCTGACAAATGTTGCCCAAAGAAACAGGCAAAGACACAAAGATCACAGCTTCGGAATCCGCAGCTGCCGCCTCTGCATAGGGAGTAGAGATTTTAGAAGACAGGCCCCAAGCACCCGTGAAGGAGGCATGGAGAAGAGGGGAGCAGAGGACCCCTAAGACACAGCTGAGAGCTTGTCATTGGAGACACACCATGGCAGCCCATTGCAGGCACTCAGATTCCACAGTTGGCTTGTTCGGTTCCTGGAACCAAAAAGATCTGGCTGTTCTCTAAGGAAGATAATTCTGTGCCCTGAGGGAGAAAGGAAAAGGGCTGGAAAGAGTGCAGTGACCTCTGCCTAAGGCTGGTTAATTCTATAGGCTGCCTGTTCTTCAGGCAAGAACCCCCCCTGATTTGAGTGGGCTGGGTACAGGGACAAGTGGCTCAGCAGGAAATCAAAGAAGCTGAAAGGTAGAGGTGTGCCCAGAGGGAGGAGCTGAAGAGTGGGGGAGATGAACAGGCTCCCTAAAAGCTAGTTAGCTGAGGGGGCAGCACAGCAGTAAATGGATGAAGAAGGAAATCTGAGCTACCTCAAAGGTGAGAGTGTGTCTCTGTCATCAGAGACCCCTCACCATCCCCAGGAAGCAGGCAGCCCGGCCAGCTGCATCCCCAAGCAGGTGGGTTTCCCTAGCTCAGGCTTGTCTCAGGCTTCCTTCAGATTGCAGTGGGAACAGCCTCCTGGCTGCAGAGGCTGTGAGACTCAGCCAGGGCTTGACAGCCCCTCTTGGAGCCCTGGGGTAGATTTGGGTGGAAGTTGCTATCCCCAGCCCAGGGCCTGACCCTTGTTCTTGACTCAACTGTAAGTCATTGTACTGCGCTGGGCCTCCAAACCGACAGTAGCTTCCTCCTTTCCAGCCATGGGGGAAGGGTGGGAAGCTCAGCACAACAAAAATCAACCTTGATGGCAACCACGACTCTCGAGTTTATTGCGTGTTTTCTGTGTTCCAGGAAAGGTACCCACAACCTTGACTATCACTTCATCCAGTCTTCCCCCACGACACACCAAGAGAGTCTTTTGTCATTTTTTTTCCACTTTACAGGTGAAGAGTCCAAGCTTAAAGGGCTTAAGAAATCCAAAGACACACACAGCTAGCTATCTTCCTTCCTCCTTCCCTGCCCCCTCCTTTCTTTCCTCATTTCCTTCCTTCCACTAATATTTATTAGATGGTACCGTTTGCCAGGCCAGGTTTGCACACAGGCCCAGCAGGCTGTTAAGTTGACAGTATTGCCCCTGTGGTGCCCTCCACCACCTGGACTCAACAGAAACAGCTCTATCAAGAGCCTCTTGGCCTCCACAGAAACTCCTGGAGCCTCTGGCTGCCTGAGGGCAGGCTGGAAGCAGAAGGGGACAGGGTTTCCTTAACTGGAGAAAATGAGAGGACTCAGCCCCCACCTCATCCCCCCAATCCCAAATCTTAAGAGAGATCTGCAGTCTTCTCTCACGTTGCCTCTGCAGGCCACCCCCAGAGCCAGGAGATAGCAGGACTGGCAAGCTCTCAAGCTCCATCTCTGGAGAATGGGAGCCGCCAATCGTGGCTTTTGGAATTGTTGGTAAACAAGCCTACCCACCAGCCAGGCCTCGGCTCCCCGCTCCCCCAGGAGGCAGCCAGCACTGGATTTACGAGGCCTCCAAACCTCATTCAGACTAATGCAGCTTTTCATTCCCAAATAAAAGGGGCCGCTGTCTGAAAGGACAAGTGCTCCCGAATTTCATTAACATCCCCTAAAACGGCTGAGCTGGCCCAAGCCGCTGCCAGCTAGATTCATGCCTCCCACTGGCTCCCAGGTGGGGGTGTGGATAAGGCTTGGAAGAAGGGGATGGCACTGTCAGAGCCCCCCCCCCAGCCTCGCCGCCCCTCCCTCTACCCCTTACTTGTGTGGTTAAGGAGAGGAGCCCCTAGGGGTGGCCAAGCTAGCTCCTTTGGATGAGTCCCCTGTGTGCATGTTTTGTTTAGACTGATCCACTCGGCTCTCAGTCCCTCCACAATCACTGTGAGTGATGAGGCCCTGGGCTCGAGTTACTGAGATTCATGACTCCGCTTCCCCGGGAAGCCAGTGAGCAGAGCGCAGTTCCTGAGTGCAGATTCCTAGGACTTGAGTGCCCTCTGCTGAAGCCTGCTTATTGTCAACTGCTTTGCAGGCAGGTGCTGGCAGGCCGGACACTGAAGCCCAGCCTGCCCTGTGGGCTTTGGACCCTTCCCTTTGTGTCTCAGAAAAGGGCCCACTGGGGTTATACATCACAACCCTCTTGTCTGATACTTTGGTGAGAATGAGAGAAGGAAATCTCCCTCATCTGGTCACAGGGGTTCAGGCTTAGAAAGAGGTAGCTGCCACCTCCTGAGACACACACACACACCACACACACACACACACACACACACACACACACACACACACACGATCTCTAGTGATCGTAGGAGGCTGAAAGATGGAGGCCTCCAAACCCAGTTCCTCTCAGTGGCCAAATGCATGCTCACCACAAAAGCCAAGACTCCTTTGCAGGACACTGTGACCTATAGGCTCAGAGACAGGCACATCAGTCTGGTGCCTTCATCCCTTCCGCCTGTGCCAAGGAGGGAGAAAGACGCAGAACTCAACCACCACCTACCGAACTGTGAGCCTCTGAAAGTGGCATCACCTTAGATTTTTGTCAACAGTCAAGCAAGTTCATTCCCACTGAAGTCAATTCCTGTGTTTATTGTCAGCTTAACCCACTACTGCAAGTTATTTCTCGGCAGTGAGGGAGACAGGTAGACAAGCTACCGGAGAGATATGTTATTTTACTGACATCTGCTCTTCAGTGGTCTGGGCACAGTTCTGGCGGAGAAGGGAACGATATACAGATACACGTATGTGGAGATTCTTATTGTGTGTGTGCATGATAGAACAGCTGCAAATGAGTAAGATGCCCCAGGGTCAGGGAGCCATCGCTGTGAGGTGAGGGAAAGCAGAGAATGCCCACTGGGGCCAGCACCTCCTGGCTTCCTGATTCTAGCATAGCTGGCTTGCTCCAACAGTCATTCATAGTCCCTAATTAATTTATTTATGTAATCATTCGTTCATTAATTCATAAGAACACCCATTCATTTTCATTTCCTTAGTCAGTGATTCACTCATTGATTCGTTTTCTTTTTCAATCCCCTTCTAAATTCTCCCCTCATCCATTCATATGGTCAATCTCTAATTAATTCATCCAGTCCCCCCATTGATCCACTTAGACACCCTCTTACATGAAGCCTTTGCTTGTTTATTTGCTCACTAGAGCCCTCACTCCCTTCCCTATTCATTCTCTCACATCCACCACTTTCTTCATTCACACATTCACCCAATCACCTGCTCCTTTTTTTCATTAGCTTGTCCACTCGCACACTCATTCACTAGTCCTTTCA